ACAACCTACTACTTGAGAAGATAGAAAAATGCGGGTTAGACAGCATCACCACCAGATGGATCCGTAGCTGGCTGACCGGCCGTACTCAGTGTGTGGTCCTCAATGGAACCGCATCTACATGGAGGGAAGTGTGTAGTGGGGTGCCCCAGGGCTCTGTTCTGGGCCCAGTGCTCTTCAACATCTTCATCAACGATCTGGACGAGGGGATAGATGGGGAACTCATCAAATTTGCAGACGATATCAAGCTGGCAGGAATAGCCAACACTCCAGAAGACAGGCTTAGGATACAGGAGGATCTGGACAGACTTGAACACTGGGCGCTATATAACAAAATGAAATTCAATGGTGAAAAAAGTAAGGTTCTACATTTAGGCAAGAAAAACCAAATGTACAGGTATAGTATAGGGGTACCTTGCTCAATAGTAGTAACTGTGAGAGGGATCTCGGAGTCCTAGTGGACAATCACTTAAATATGAGCCAGCAGTGTGCTGCAGCTGCCAAAAAGGCCAACACAGTGCTGGGCTGCATTAACAGAGGGGTAGAATCAAGATCACGTGAAGTATTAATACCACTTTACAATGCCTTGGTAAGGCCACACTTGAAATACTGCATCCAGTTTTGGTCACCACGATGTAGAAAAGATGTTGAGACTCTAGAAAGAGTACAGAGAAGAGCAACAAAGATGATTAGGGGACTGGAGGCTAAAGCATATAAGGAACGGTTGCTGGAATTGGGTATGTCTAGTTTAATGAAGAGAAGGATGAGGGGGGACATGATAGCAGTGTTCCAATATCTCAGGGGCTGCCCCAAAGAAGAGGGAGTCAAGCGCCTGAAGGCAGGACAAGAAGCAACGGATGGAAACTAATCAAGGAGAGAAGCAACCTAGAACTAAGGAGAAACTTCCTGACAGTGAGAACAATTAACCAGTGGAACAACCTGCCTCCAGAAGCGGTGAATGCTCCAACACTGGAAGTTTTTAAGAAGAAACTGGACAGCCATTTGTCCGAAATGGTATAGGGTTTNATCATCATCATCATCATCATCATCATCATCATCATCATCATCATTATTATTAAAGTATGTTTTTGTATTGCAATTTTTTTTAGTACTACGTTGCCTTGAAACGGAACTGGCTAGAAGAGAAAGGCACTTTGATAGCATCATTGGTGTTTCCCTTGGAGGGAAGTCCAGAAATGAACACACAAGGCATACGTGCAGTGGCGGGATTCAAATATGTGAACAACCGGTTCTCTGGGTGGATGCTGCTTCCGGAAGTCCATTTTGGGCCTGGGCAACAACCGGTTCTGCCGAAGTGGTGCGAACTGGCTGAATCCCACCACTGCAGAAATCTCAACACTAAGACCACGTACAACAAAGGGCAGGGCAGAAGATCCTGTAGGTGAACATACTTCCTGAGTCATGACCCCAGAGCAATAAATACCAGTAGTATATGATCATCTTCCTGGGCAGCTATGATAGAATATTTTGTTGTTGTTAGTTGCGAAGTCATGTCCGACCCACTGCGACCCCATGGACAACGTTTCTCCAGGCCTTCCTGTCCTCTGCCATCTTCTGGAGTCCATTTAAGCTCACGCCTACTGTTTCAGTAACTCCATCCAGCCACCTCATTCTCTGTTGTCCCCTTCTTCTATTGCCCTCAATCTTTCCCAGCATTAGGCCCTTCTCCAGTGAGTCCTTCCTTCTCATTAGGTGGCCAAAGTACTTGAGTTTCAACTTCAGGATCTGGTCTTCTAAAGAGCAGTCGGGGTGGATCTCCTCTAGGACTGACTGGTTTGATGGCCTTGCAGTCCAGGGGACTCTCAGGAGTCTTCTCCAGCACCATAGTTCAAAGGCCTCCCTCAATTCTTTGGTGCTCAGCCTTTCTTATGGTCCAGCTTTCACAGCCATACATTGCAACTGGGAAAACCATGGCCTTGACTATACGTACTTTTGTTGGCAGGATGATGTCTCTGGTTTTTAGTATGCTGTCTAGATTTGCCATAGCTTTTAATTTCTTGGTTGCAGTCCCCATCTGCGGTGAACTTGGAGCGCAGGAAGATAAAATCTGTCACTACTGCCATTTGTTTCCCATCTATTTGCCAGGAAAACCATCATAATTTATCTCTTTCCCTTCTGAAAGGGCATTAGTGGTCCACAAACTTATTTTCTGGGTTTTTTTCATAGATATTTTCTAAGATATTAGATATTTTCTGATAGCAAATTGTCGTGAATTTCTGTGGCTGAAGAAGTGTTTCTTTTTTTCTTATTTTCAAGCACTGAGTTTCATTGGAGTACAATAGCGACGGACTACAAACAACTAGGCAATGAAGTCAAGAGGCTAGGAGCACAAGTAGTGTTCTCGTCAGTTCTCCCAACGAAAGGCCAACACCCATTGAGGGAAAAAAGAATCTTAGAAATAAACCATTGGCTAAAGCAGACATGACAAACACAAGGCCCAGGGGCCGGATGCGGCCCACAAAGTGGTTTCATGTGGCCTGCGAAGCCATCCTGGAAACAGTGAGGGAACGGCCCCCGCTGCCTTGGCCCTGGCCCAGGCCAGCCGGGAGCCAATGTACAATTTTGTGGTGGCCATCTATGCTGAAATGCATTCAATCTTAGCTCCACAAGACCGTCTGGAAACAGTGAGGAACCAGCCCCTGTCGCGTCAACCCCACCCCCTGGGTGCATGCTGGGGAGGTGTCACCCTTTATGAGGAATGAAGAAATGCACCATCGCCTGGAAGTGGGCAGCAAATGGCCCTCGCCTACTTCACATATCCGGCTTGATGGACTCTTCCCTGGTCCCACCCCTTTCTTCCAGAGACCCTCAGATCTGTCCCACTCCTGCCCAGGCCTCCCACAGGCACCCTTGACGCAAATGATGTAGAGCTAGCCACGCCCACCCAGTAGACCACACCCACTCCATGTCCACCCAGTAGGCCACACACCCCCGCCCCCCCCGAGGGCAACCACAATGCTGATGTGGCCCTCGATGAAATTGAGTTTGACACCCCTGTGGTAAATGGAGGATAACATACACACATTGTCTCAGAAGAGGGGAGGAGGGCCATATGAGACAGGAATGCCGGAAAGACGGGACACGGCATCGGTACCGGGGAAACCCACCCACAGCCCCTTTCCCCAGGGACACCCAGCCACAACACAGAGATAAGTGGAGTCCCAGGTCACCCCAATAGGAACCGGACACTGGAAACCTACACGCTATGTGACTAGACGAAGGACAACCTGACTTCAGAGCCACCTTCACTGACCTCAGCATTCCCTTAAGGACAGGCCCCGAAGGAGAACCCATGATTAAACTTAACAAAGGGGGAAGACAATACAGCTGCCTAACAGACACCGGCGCCACAGCGTCCCTCATTACAACGGCCCCGTTCAAGGGAGCGGTGGCCCCTGGATCCACAGACAATATAATGGGAGTAGGAGGGGAAATCATTCCTGTAGAATTTATCAAAGACATCCAAGTAGAAATAGGTCCTCTCTCCTTGACACACACCTTCACGGTGTGCCCACAAATCTCCCTTATCACTTATGGGCAGAGATTTACTCTGCAAATTGGGAGCCACCATAACCTGCAGCCAAACAGGATTAATCCTAGACATCCTGACAAAACGCCTGCAGCTGGTCGTACTAAGCAGGGAACACTTACACAATGATCTGCGCTCATTGCCATCCTCCCTTTGGGCATGGGATAACACCGAAGTTGGGTTTCTTAAAGGGGCCACACCAGTAATAATCCAAGTTAAAGAGGGCCCCCCGCCATGCATTCCACAATACAGGATCCCGGCCGAAGCCATCAAACCCATTAGGAAATTAATAGACGCATATCTAGCGCAGGAAGTTCTGAGGAAATGCACTTCCCCCTACAACACACCTATCTTTCCTGTAAAGAAGTCAAAGGTAGACAGCGAAGGAAACCCAGTCTTTAGATTTGTTCACGACCTCCGCCTGGTGAACAATCACGTGATCCCACGAGCACCCATTGTTCCGAACCCGGCCACCATTATCACTGAGGTTCCAGCCTCAGCGACCCATTTTTCAGTTATCGACCTCTGCTCAGCATTTTTCAGCATCCCGGTAGACCTCTCTTCCCAATATCTTTTCGCCTTCACCTGGGAAGATCAGCAATACACCTGGACCCGTTTGCCCCAAGGCTACACGGAGTCCCCAACCCTGTTCTCGCAAACACTAAAAGCAGACCTCTCCTCTATCACCCTGCCAGGGGGATCAACCTTAATTCAGTATGTCGATGACCTCCTCATAGCCTCTGAGTCTGAATACACAAGCAAAACTGACACCTTACACTTACTAAGATCCTTAGACGAGAAAAGACATAAGGCTTCCCCCTCAAAGCTGCAATACCTTTAACAGGAGGTCACCTACTTAGGTTACATTATTGCCCCAGGTATTAAGAAATTAGCCCCGAGCCGCATACAAACTATACTAGGTATGAAGTCGCCTCGCACCAAATGCCAAGCGCGAGCCCTTTTGGGAGTGCTGAGTGTCTGCCGACCATGGATCCCCTCCTTCGGAGAATTGGCAAAACCACTTATCCAGCTTACAACTAAGACAATGCCTGATCCCATTAACTGGACAAAATCCCTGGATCACACCCTGCTACGGATAAAGCAAACACTAACATCAGCCCCAGCTCTGGGCCTCCCTGACTATAAAAAGCATTTCACTCTTTTTATTCACGAAAAACAAGGCATTGTCTCAGGTCAGGGGTAGGCAACTTTGGCTCTTTTATGACTCGTGGACTTCAACTCCCAGAATCCCTGAGTCAGCCATGCTGAGGGGAAAGGGAGAGGTTTCCAAGCTGAGCCATGTTGGCTCAGGAATTCTGGGAGTTGAAGTCCATGAGTCATAAAAGAGCCAAGATTGCCTACCCCTGCCTCAGGTGTTCTAACCCAAAGGTTCGGACCCACGCATCGCCCAGTAGCATATTACTCTGTCACCTTAGATCAGCGGTTCTTAACCTATGGGTCGTGACCCCATTTGGGGTCGATCGACCATTTCACGGGGGTCGCCAAGCAAGGCTGTCCGCCATTTTTTTTGTCCGCCATTTTCCCCCCCTTTTCCGGCGGGTGCCTTACCTCCCTTGGGCTGGGCCAGCTTGTGGTCGGACTGCTCCGTCTCTGCCGCTTGCCAGCTACGCCTCGGCCGGCGCAGGGGGCGGAACCACGCATGCGCGGCACTTCCGGGCAGGGAAAGTCCTCGACCTACGACCGGTTGGGTAGTCCTCGACTTACGACCGGTTTAGTCCTTGACTTACGACCGGTTTAGTCATTGACTTACGACCAGTTGGGGGTCGCGGCATTAAAAAGGTTGAGAACCACTGCCTTAGGGACAGTGGCTCAAGGGACAGTCCCCTGCCTAAGAGCATTGTGGAAATAGTAAAACGTTCAAAGGACATTGTCCTAGGTCATCCACTCACATTACAAGTCCCGCACGATGTCTTTGCGATCCTCCTCAAATCACAAACTCAGGCTTTTACCCAGCAACACCTGGCCCAATATGAGGCAGAAGTATTCACCTCCGATCACATCGCCTTCGAAAGGTGCACTACACTCAACCCAGCTACCCTTCTACCAATTGACCACACCGGGGAGAGTCTTCATGACTGCCTCCATTTAGTCTACGATGCCGAATTACCCCGACCAGACCTTACCAACATCCCACTTGACAACCCAGACATGGAACTCTTCACAGACGGCTCATCTTACATATATGAAGGAGTGAGGGTGGCGGGCGCAGCCGTAGCTTCCCTCCATGAAAGCATCTGGGATTCCCCCCTCCCCCATCTAACAACGCTCAAGCGGCAGAACTCATAGCTTTAACGAAAGCCTGCGAAGCTGCGAGGGACCGGTCTACCTGCATCTACACCAGGGGTGTCAAACTCAATTTCATTGAGGGCCGCATCAGCATTGCGGTTGCCCTTGGGGGGCCGGGTGGGTATGGCCAGGGTGGGTGCAGCCTACTGGTTGGGTGTGGATGGACTGGGTGTGGCCTACTGGGTGGGCATGGCCAGCTCTACATCGTTCGCGTCAAGGGTGCCTGTGGGGGCCTGGGCAGGAGTGGGACAGATCTGAGGGTCTCTGGCAGAAGGAGGTGGGACTGGGGCAAGCGCCAAGGCATGTTCCATTTCTTCATTCCTCACAAAGGGTGACACCTCCCCAGCATGCACTCAGCGGGCGGGGCCAACGCGGCAGGGGCTGGTTTCTCGCTGTTTCCAGACAGCCTTGTGGAGCTAAGACTGAATGCGTTTCAGCATAGATGGCCACCACAAAATTGTACATTGGCTCCCGGCCGGCCTGGGCCAGGGCCAAGGCAGCGGGGGCCGTTCCCTCACTGTTTCCAGGATGGCTTCACGGGCAACATGAAACCACTTCGCGGGCTGCATCCAGCCCCCGGGCCTTGTGTTTGACATGTCTGCTATAAAACTACCCAAAGCCATAGCTGTCATCCACTGCAGGGCCCATAGAAACGATGATTCCACAACCACTAAAGGGAATCAGTACGCAGATGCCACAGCGAAATGGGTGGCCATGCACCCTCTCCCCCACCACATTACTTCCCTGATATCCCCTACAAAGACTTCTTGGACACAGGAGAGACAGATACATGGGAACAGAAGCTTGGGGCAGTTTTTAAAGACAGGTTTTGGATAGTCTCTGATGGCAGACCCATAGCACCACGTCGCTTACTACACCTCTTCTGCCAGAGGTTGCACTCAAAGGGCCACCATGGGATTCAAGCCATGGTAGATTCCATTAGAAGAGTATGGTATGCACCTGGTGTGTACAGTGAAGCCACAAGAATAGCCAGCACCTGTAAAACCTGACAGGCAAACAACACTACCTCCAGGAAGGCCATCCACGAAGGTGGCAGACCTTGGGCCCAACGACCCTTTGAGAGAGTACAAATGGATTACATCCAACTACCCAAAGCAAATGGGTACCAATACGTCCTAGTATGCAGGGACCAATTGACTCACTGGGTTGAAGCTTTTCCATGCCGCCACACCACAGTCTTAGAAACAGCCAGACACCTCCTTAAGGACATAGTGCCTAGATTTGAGGTACCCAGCATTTTGGACATGGATAGGGGAAAACCCACTTATGCATCATCAGGTGCCGGGTGGGTGTGACCCAATGGGTGTGTGTGGCCCATTGGGTGTGTGTGGCCCATTGGGTGGGCGTGGCTACGGTGGTAACACCAGACTGGGTGGGACTAAAAAGTTAGTGACTAAAATGCTAGTGAGACCTGGACAGTGTACAGGAGGCACGTCAGGTAACTGAATTACTTCCACATGACTTCCCTTCGTAGAATTCTGAGGATCCGGTGGCAGGATAAGATACCAGATACAGATGTCCTCTCCAGAGCAGGCCTATCATCAGTTTACACTCTGTTGATGAGAGCCCAGATGGCTGGGCAGGCCACGTTGTAAGGATGCCAGACCATCGCATCCCTAAACAGCTCTTCTATGGTGAGCTGTCTCAAGGAAAGCGATCGCACGGGGGACAAAAGAAGCGATACAAAGACACGCTGAAAGCATCTCTCAAGTCCCTGGATATCGACACCATCTCTTGGGAATTTTTGGCGCATGATTGACCGACATGGCGTACCCTGGTTTACCAGGGTTGCCAGACATATGAACACAGGAGGACAATCTTGGCGCCAGAGAAGCGAGCACTCCGTAAAGCCAGAGCTGCAAATGCTGAAGCAACAGTGTCCACATTTCTCTGTTCAGTACGTGACAGAACATTCCGTGCTAACATCGGTCTAATCAGCCATCTACGGACACACCGTTGATGGCCCACAATCCACAAGATGTCAAGGTCTTCATCGAAAATCGATGGACGAACAACATATTACAGATCACCCACCCAACCAGATGAAATGCCAACCAATTAATTGCTTGCAGGAAGCATACCACAGTAGTAATGGGAGACTTCAACTATCCAGATACCCACACATTTTTTTTCTTTTTTCCTAAGCTAAGAAAAATCCAAAAGATGACTCCTTCAGAAGGAAATTTTAGATAGACATCATTTAACAACCCCCTTGTTTAGTGGCCATTCACAGTTATGATGGCGATGAAAATGTAAGTTTACTGACCAATCCTCTCATTTGCATCCTTTGAACGTCTGTAAAGCAAAGGAAAGCTGAAGTAAGAACATAACAAAGTCATGATTTCATTTAGTGACCACTTAACTGAATTGCTGGTCCCAAATGTGGTCACTAAATGAGGAATACCTATTTCTGGTCCCTCTGGATATGCCAATCCCTTCTGTGACAGTTGACCCCTGACGGTCTTTAGCTCTTCAGGTCGCAGTTCTGATTTTATTTGTTCTAGTGATCCCATTATTTGTTTTTCTAGTTATCTGTGAGATCCTTAAAAATGCTCTCCAGATGCAAAATTCAAATGTGCTGGTACAGAAGCTCATAGAAATGATAGTAAAGAGTACTGCTACTTTACTGACCAGGGCTTATTAATTTTGTTTATAAATATTTATAATTGTGTTTATAGTGTTTATTAATTTTGCACACAACTCCCTTGGGCTTCCATGCAACCAAGAATGAATTCTAATAGGGCAGGAGTCTCTAATAGAGCAACCAAGAATGAATTCTAATAGGGCAACTTTTAAGACTTCTGGACTTCAACTCCCAGAATTCCTCAGCCAGCCATGCTGAATAGAATAGAGCTGGAAGGGATCTTGGAGGTCTTCTAATGCAGCCCCCTGCTCAAGCAGGAGAACCTATACCAGGGGTAGGCAACCTTGGCTCTTTTGACTTGTGGACTTCAACTCCCAGAATTCCTGAGCCAGCCATGCTGAATAGTATAGAATAGAGCTGGAAGGGACCTTGGAGGTCTTCTAATCCAGCCCCCTGCTCAAGCAGGAGACTATACCAGGGGTAGGCAACCTTGGCTCTTTTGACTCGTGGACTTCAACTCCCAGAATTCCTGAGCCAGCCATGCTGAGGGGAAAGGGAGAGGTTTCCAAGCTGAGCCATGCTGGCTCAGGAATTCTGGGAGTTGAAGTCCACGAGTCATAAAAGAGCCAAGGTTGCCTACCCCTGGTCTAGCCTCTTCTTAAAAATCTCCAATGATGGAGCGCCCACCATTTCTGGAGGCAAAGCTATCCCACTGGTTAATTGTCCTCACTGTCAGGAAGTTTCTCCTTAATTCCAGGTTGCTTCTCTCTTTGATCAGTTTCCAATCAGTGTTTCTTGTCCAGCCTTCTGGTGCTTTGGAGAATAACGTGACCCCCCCCCCCTCTTCTTTGTGGCAACCCCTCAAATACTGGAACACTGCTATCATGTCTCCCCTATTTCTTCTGGTTGGGGTTGAAATCCACAAGTTTTAATAGCTGCTAAGTTTGGACAGCCCTGCCCTAGGGGAATAATCATACAAATTCAGGGCAAATTGAAAAGAGGTAATTTAAAAAAAAAATCACCTTCTTTTGGGATTCAGTCACTAAAGGATTCCCAACAGCAAAACTGGGGTCTTTTGCAATCACCTTTTTATTGCACGACGTATTGCAAGAATGTAAGGGAGGATCCGGACTGTGTTTGCAGAGGAGGCTCTGCCACTCTAGGAGTTAAGAAAGACAAGCCACTGCCTAGAGAGGACGGAAGTAGGTGGAGAAAAAGCTGTACCTTTCTCAGTGAAACAAGCTTCCTACCGGAAGATTCAACTGCTGGCCTGTTGTATCAATCGGTGGGGTTTCCCACTCCTTGAATCTGCCTCGGGGGGTCTCTTTGGGGGATTAGGGTGACTCCCTTCCCCGCCACTTCTCTTTGCAATGGGGGAAACTGCAGGGGAGCAACGAGAGGCAGAGCTGATGCGCAGGGAGAGAGACCAGAGGGCAGGACAGGAAACCATGGATGGAAACTGATCAAAGAGAGAAGAAGCAAGTTGCGAGTTTGACACCCCTGGTATAGGGTTTCCTGCCTGAGCAGGGGGGTTGGACTAGATGACCTCCAAGGTCCCTTCCAACTCTATTATTATTATTATAAACTAACCAAGGAGAGAAGCAACCTGGAATGAAGGAGAAACTTCCTAACAGGGAGGACAAATAATCAGTGGAACAGCTTTGCCTTTCAGACGTTGCGGGCGCTTCCATCATTTTAAAGAAGAGACTGGACAGCCACCTGTCTGAAAGGGTAGAGTGTTATTAATAAAGGAGAATATTTGCAGCTCAGGGTTGACACGAGGGGTCCTTGGTGCTCTCTGAGCTTGCTTGTTTTCTTGGAGACGTTTCATTACCGAACTAGGTAACAGCATCAGTGCTGGTGAGGAATGCGGTTTGCTGTCAGTTTATATTCTAAGGGCTTCTTGCCCTGTCAGTGTTGTTGGGGGCGGTCTTAGGGATTCTTTGGTTGGGCTGTTTGCTTCTTTTGGCAGTTTCTCGATTGGGGTATTCTTTGCTTGATTGTTGGCCTGATGTTAACCTTGGAGTTAATTTATGCTGATCTGAGTGTTGCTGGTGGAGAGGTGCTTGGGTCTTTTGGTTCTCTTTTGGGCTGGGGGAAGGTATAGTATCTCCTTGAGCAGAGTGGTTGGACTAGAAGACCTCCGAGGTCCCTTCCAGCGATGATGATAATGATGACGATGATTAAACAAAGTGAAGACGGTCAAAGAAACCCATTTCCCATTTTCTGGAGAGGCCACTGACTGATCTCTTGTGTTCCTTCCCCCCCTCCCAGACTAGAATATCCCCCCCCAAGGTTCCTTCCAGCTATGATGATGATGATGAAAGCAACAAACCCTTTTGTGGTTTTAGTGGGATTTCAATCCTTTCCGCATAATTATTCGCCTGACTGTCCTTGCAGGTTTGACGCTTTGGGTTGTGGGGCAGGGCTTATTGAAAGCCTTTTGAGAATTGGGGTGAACTTCCAGCATTACAAATAAATAAAAATGGGGGCTCTTCATGGTTGTTGCTCCCCTCCCGTTTCCACTCCACTAATGTGGGTCTGCAAGAATGTTTTTTGCCTCTTTTGAATCGGCTGCCTCCTTTCTTTCTGGATGGACAGTTGAACAGAAAGCCAGCTGGGCAGAGGATGAAAAAGCTCAAAGGGAGATGGCAGGTAGAGAGAGCAGTTTGGGCAAATCCTGAACAGACAACGAAGGGTTAGTTGTGCTGTTGAACGCGGATGCAATTTACTTCCTAGAAAGAACTATGGTTTTGGGGTCTCCCGTTTCTGTCTTTGGCTTGAGATCCAAGACTTGAATCTGAAGATGAAACTCTGCTTGTTGCTTTGTCAGTCTGCGGCTTTCTTTCTGCCTTAACACTACAGCCCTGTTGCATTGCACTGTGTGAAGGCCAAATTGGGAAGAAATAGAGTTCCTTTAGACTTGCTAGAGGTTCTCCTAGGCCAGGGCATAAAAAAAAAGAAAAGAAATGAAGGAACAAGATTCGGCCGTTTCTGAAGAAAAAGAAAGCCGTGATACCACGCTGCCCGAGAGCAGTGAAGAATCTTGGAAAAGAACAGGGCAGGAGACTTTGGAGGAGGACACGTTCAGCGCAGAGGCTCATCGCCAACGTTTCAGGAGCTTCGGCTACCAGGAGGAAGAAGGTCCTCGAGAGATTTGCAGCCGTCTCCACCGTCTTTCCCGTCAGTGGCTGCAGCCGGAACGACACACCAAGAGCCAGATGCTGGACCTGGTGATCCTGGAGCAACTGCTGGCCATCCTGCCCGTGGAGATGTCCAGCTGGGTGCGGGAATGCGGAGCAGAGAGCAGCTCCCAAGCGGTGGCCCTGGCCGAAGGCTTCCTCCTGGATCAGATGGAGCAGAAGAAGCTGGAGCAGCAGCAGCAGCAGGTGGGGATCCCACCTTCATGATGGCTTCAAAGGGCTACATAACATCCAGTAGGGGGCGCCTCAAAACTACAGGTAGTTCTTGACTTACGACCATAACTGAGCCCCAAATTTTTCTTGCTAAGCTAGAGCAGTGGTTCTCAACCTTTTTAATGCCGCGACCCCAACCGGTTGTAAGTCGAGGACTAAACCGGTCGTAAGTCGAGGACTAAACCGGTCGTAAGTCGAGGACTACCCAACCAGTCGTAAGTCGAGGACTTTCCCTGCCCGGGAGCGCCGCACATGTGTGGTTCCGCCCCCTGCGCCGGCCGAGGCGTAGCTGGCAAGCGGCAGAGACGGAGCAGGCCGACCACCAGCTGGCCCAGCCCAAGGGAGGTAAGGCACCTGCCGGAAAAGGGGAAAAAAATGGCGGACAAAAAAATGCGGACAAAAAAAATGGCGGACAGCCTTGCTTGGCGACCCCCGTGAAATGGTTGATCGACCCCAAATGGGGTCCCGACCCACAGGTTTAGAACCACTGAGCTAGAGAGTTGTTAAGCGAGTTTTGCCCAATTTTACAACCTTTCCTGCCTCGGTTGTTAAGCGAATCGCTGCCATTCTTAAGTTATAACCCGGTCGTTAAGTGAATCCGGCTTCCCCCGTTGACTTTGCTTGTCAGAAGGTCGCAAAAGGGGATCGCGTGAACCCTGCAACCGTTGTAACTGTGAGTCAGTTGCCAAGTGTCCGAATTTGGACCACATGGATGCTGCAGTGGTCATAAATATGAAAAGCCGTCATCGGTCGCTTTTTTCAGGGCCGTCGTAACTTCGAACGGTCATTAAAAAAAACTGTTGTAAGTCGAGGACTACCTGTGTTTGCATGTCTCGCTCTTTTTTTTTTTCCAATCCTGCTCCCATTTCTAAGTTGTGGATCTTTGTTGCCATTTCAGATAAACCACTTCTTTATAAAAATGGAATATGATTTCCCTGCAACAGAGGAGGTTCCACTGGGCACCATCGTAGGGAATCCTTTGCAAACAGGGACCCTGCAAGAAGATCCCAGAGGATTCACGCGGCCAGGTAAGAATTTGTGACAATGTTGTGTAGTTCAGCTAGGCCAGGGGTAGGCAACCTTGGCTCTTTTATGACTCGTGGACTTCAACTCCCAGAATTCCTGAGCCAGCCACGCTGAGGGGAAAGGGAGAGGTTTCCAAGCTGAGCCATGCTGGCTCAGGAATTCTGGGAGTTGAAGTCCACGAGTCATAAAAGAGCCAAGGTGGCCTACCCCTGAGCTAGGTCTTCCTGGCCCATACATGAAATGGTGGGCTACTCTTTTGCTCCCTGCATGGCCTGAGAGGAACAGTGAGGCTCCTCCAGTGGATCATGCCTTGGCACTTGCCTCGGTCCCACCCCCTTCTGCCAGAGACCCTCAGATCTGTCCCACTCCTGCCCAGGCCCCCACAGGCACCCTTGACGTGAATGGTGTAGAGCTGGCCACACCCACCCAGTAGGCCACACCCACTCCATCCACACCCACCCAGTAGGACGCACCCACCCTGGCCACACGCACCCGGCCCCCTGAGGGCAACCGTAATGCTGATGCGGCCCTCAATGAAATTGAGTTTGACACCCCTGCCTTATCTTATTCTCAAATGCTCTTATGTTAAAGATTATGATGTCAAGAATGAAACCTTGGCAGCTACAGTAGTGGCCAAAATTGTGGAAACCTTTTGGGAAAAGTGTACAGTAGAAATGCCACCTTTGGTTAAGTTTCCACCAATTTTTCTTCTAATTACTTTACAACTGTAGCCTTGTTCACTTAATAATACTATTTTACATCGCTTTCTGGGCAACCAGTCGACTCTTTTGCACCGTTACTTTAATTTTATTACGTTTTACAAGCTCACTAAATGAAAGAACACCAAAAAACCCCCAACCGACTTGATAGCCATCACATAACACACTGACAAGTGTCCTCCTCTCAGCTTCAATACAGGACATCAATAACTGAATCCTACTGTGATCTGATTGGCTCATTGCCAAAACAAGATGACACTTGATTGGCTTTCTAAACGCTCATGCTCATTGGCTACAATCAGATGAAGGAAAACTACCTGATAACAACCTAAGCAAATTGTGCTTCCTTTTTCTGGTTATTTGGTTATAACTTTTCATAGAATACAGTGCAGATAATTGAACAAACTATGTTGCATTACATTCTTAATTAAATTATCTTTCCATTGATATATAATTTTATGGTACTAATCCCCCCAAAAGTGGTGTTATTAGCCATCAAACCTCAAAAATATACTTTTCCCAAAAGGTTTCCACAATTTTGGCCACTACTGTATGTGTCTCTTCTTTTCAACTTGCCATTAGAGTAAGGCTGGGGAGA